GCATTCGGTTTTCGGCCAAATGTTTCATATTTTCGGTATCGGTTTCGGCCAAGAATTTCCCATTCGGTGCACCCCTAATGCTTGTCATATGTCTCTCTCCATAGAGGCTGAATCATCATGTTAATCACATAGCTATCATATGCCTCAAACAGTCCTGATGCTCTTCTAGGTCAGTGGTTTTAAAACACATGCTCAAAGTAAGCCGGATTTTGCCGATGTGTTTATGTGGATTCAAAAATTGTAAATAATCTACAAAANATGTTACTCTGATATTGGAAGAGGACATTCAGTATTTCCCCAACAAGTAGAAATGGTGCATAGTACTGAAACTTGTCTTGTGTTTCAGACAATATCCATACCAACCATCCTCCAGAGGACACGTGCTGTCGGCTGGGGCGGTGACTCAGTCTGCCCCCAGCAACTATGGAAGAAATGCTTATGTCTAAGAGTTGACTTGACCAATTCACCAGACCATGACAGTGGAAAACACTTTTGATAAGACTGTAAAAGGTTAGTTGAAAGCAATAATATGAAGTTTAAATGAAAAAATATTAGATGCAACTTAATATTATTCCTTTCAACTAACCTAATACAGTTGTGTGAAATGCGTTGATGTAATTCAAGTCAACATTTAAGTCTTGTCAGTGATCATAATCAATGTTTAGGAGTTGAAGATGTTTTATTGATTTGATTTTTTTTTATGCAAACCTTTTAAAGCTACATTTTGCTTTACCTGAATTGTACTATCCAGCTTTGTTATAATGATTGCATGGATCAATTGGTCATATGCTGATAAATATACCATGACGAATCTGATTGTCTGACATTAAGACATGTATACTATGTCATTTTACTCAGGTTTACAGATTCTATTGTTTTCAATTTCTTTTTTATCACTTTTTAGTAGGACTATGGATAAATTCAAGTTAGATATATGTAATCAATGGACCACCTTTAACTGTTTTACAATTGTGTAGTCAGTTAGTGTATAAAGAATGATCCTTTGTAATGTATCCTCAAATCTGTGTCAGGTTTTCTGGTCAATCATTTGTCTCTAAAAACACAGAGCTCAAAAAGCTCTCCTCTCAGGTCAACTCTGGTGGGTGTTTCCAGTCACAGTGTGATTTTATTTTGAATCCCACCTCTGAACCAGAACATTTGAGAAACACAAATGTAAATGACTTTATTCATTATAAACGTGTATGTTTTTTAAATGCAATGTCATACATTGGGTAATTCTGCATTTGTTACTGTGGATTTTAAGTATGTTTTATAGTTTTATAGTATAATATTTCTAGTAACTGATTGCATAAAACCATATAAAATGTTCCTTGGAGATCGTGATTTCCAACATATTTCATGAAAAGATAGTTATATTAATACAACAATTAAACTAGTTCATGTGTTTTGGGTTACAAAGCTTGTTTGCAATAGTCTCCTTTGACTAAAAAAAGAATACAGCTAATATTGTAGTCATGACACATATTATGCCTGCAGTAAATAATACATATTTTTCCATATTCAGTTCGTTAAATACGCCACCTACTGGAGTGACTTGGTGTTACACCTAGGATTGACTAGGTGAAATACCAGTGTTGTTGGGAAACTGATCACAATCTTTGACCAACATCACCGACACTAAATAGAGTAGGGAATAATCTCAGGACTAGATCACTATGTCTAATTTCCTGATTAAGGCAATATTTAGTTTTTTCCACTCATTCACAAATATTGATATCAAAGTTGCAAATAGGTTTTTAGCACTCTGCACTGAAAGGTGGTAGTTTAATTATGTGCAGGTTTTTGTGAATATGAAAAATGAGTGTTTGTTTTTAAGGTTGCAAACATATTCAGGGTATATATGGACATTTTATTTATTGGGATAAACCCCTTGAGATGCACCATCTTGTTTTCAAGGGGGTCCCGAAATATATATACAGTATATATAGTACAGGGTTCATACACTTTTTTACCAATGATTTTCCATGACTTCTCCATGACCTTTACCTAATTTTTCATGACCAAAATAATTACTCTTTCTCAGCGGTACAACTGAAAATAGTTTATTTTAACATGGAACAGGAAAATAAGGTCTGAATATGAAACATGTTGTGCCTCTCTAAAACAAATCAAATAGCAGGCTGACTAGCT